CGAAAACCTTGATACATGAACGGGGTCCCCGGCCTTTTGCCTTCGCAGCGTAAGAAACTGCTGGATAGCAAGACCATTCACGACCGCGGCAGAGCCCTGTTCAGAGCAGTGGTCTCCAAGGGAGGCGTAGGCATTTGGGAACAACCGCCCTCAGCCATGTCCTGGCTGGAAGAGGCTAACTTCCAAATGCTACGCGATCACCAATGCGCCCTGGTGTGGGTAGACGCCTGCAGGCACAATAAAGCCTTCTCCAAATCATCCCGTTGCAATCACTCATACAAGCACCGAAGCATTGCAGGCGTGAAAGAACCTGGCCTTGCAACTTGCCCAGGTAGGCATAGGAAGGGTCAGCAAAACAGGTTCCTTCCGACAAACACTGCCTTTGCACTCCACTCCGAAATCTCCAGGACCATCACACTGGCGCCTTGCAGGCTTCCGACCTGCAACGAAGCAGGAATGCACTCTTCCGCAGACTGGTGCTATCCCAAGCCAGAACACCCGCTGCAAGCATTCGCCAGGCCCTGGCTGCATTGGAGGCATGAGCGCAAATTGGTGCCGCGAATCCTGGCGCACGTCAGGAGCAGGTGTCCGGACTGCCCCAGCCTGGAAGTGGCAACTTTAGCTTACACGGCTCTACAATTGCCCTGCAATGAGCCCCGAGGCAGGACAGCCGTACAGACTCCACCTGACCTGCTGCAGGCCTTGGCCAACTCTTGGGGTGGCCCTGCTGCCATTTCTGCAACACGGGGTGCCGACGGGAGCTGTATCAGCCTTACCACCCAGCCTTCAATGGCCGGCAAAGAAGCCAGACTCCGCCTTGCCGCCAGATCTGGAAATCTGTGAGGGCAACTGGAAGATGGCCGAGGACGAACCAGACACCGTGCACAGCTTGCTGCGCAATGAAATTGCCAACAACTGGATTGTAGAAACCGGCCTTAGCATTGCCGAAGCTCGTGAAAAATGGCCTTTAGGCATTGCCGTAGGCAAATTAAATGTCGTTTTTGCAGAAGGGAAAGAGCCGCGCCTTGTCCTGGACAGCACCGTGTGCCAAGTGAATACAAGATGCCATCTGCCAGAGCGCCTGAGCCTGCCAGTGGCATCGGACCTGGCGCTGTCCACGCAGCCGGCGGACACTCCAGGAGCGTGGGCGCCAGCATTGACTTCAAAGCCGCACACAAACAGGTGCAGGTCCGCCCTGAAGAGCATGGCCTTCTGCTATTCGCCTTTCAGGAAAAACTCTATCACTATAGAGTGTGCCATTTTGGAGGCCGTTTCTCGGCATTCTGGTGGCAGCGCACTGGCGCATTTCTGCTTCGCCAGGTGCATGGGTTGTTGGCTTGGAAGCCCCACAAAGCCTTCCTCTTCGTGGACGACCTTCTGTGTGCACTCTTCCGAGATAGCGCACCAGATATGTTTGCCTTGGTGGTGCTTTTCTTTTGCGCCATTGCGGCGCCAATTTCATGGAAAAAGGCGAGCCTTGTTTGGTGCGGCTGGGAGATCAACTTCTCCCACGCTTGCGTAAGCTGACAGAAGCATGCGCAGGAAGATGTCGGGGCTAAAGAGCAGCAAGAGCAAGCTGTAGCTTTGCCAAAGCTTTGGGACCTTTGGCTCTCTTGAAACCATCTCTAGTCTATCCTTGGGGTCTTCTTTGCCCAAGTTGGCTTTCTTGAAACCATCTCTAGTCTATCCTTGGGGCCTTCTTTGCCCAAGTTGGCTCTCTTGAAACCATCTTTATTCTATCCTTGGGACCTTTGGCTCTCTTGAAACCATGTCTAGTCTATCCTTGGAGCCTTCTTTGCCCAAATTGGCTCTCTTGAAACCAGGGACGTTCTTTGCCCAAGTTGGCTCCCTTGAAACCATCTCTAGTCTATCCTTGCGACCTTCTTTGCCCAAGTTGGCTCTCTTAAAACTATCTCTAATCTATCCTTGGGACCATTTTTGCTCTAGTCTATCCTTGGGGCCTTCTTTGCCCAAGTTGGCTCTGTTGAAACCATCTCTAGTCTATCCTTGGGACCTTCTTTGTCCAAGTTGGCTCTCTTTGAAACCAACTCTAGTCTGTCCTTGGGACCTTCTTTGCCCAAATTGGCTCTCTTAAAATCAGGGACCTTCTTTGCCCAAGTTGGCTCCCTTGAAACCATCTCTAGTCTATCCTTGCCTTCTTTGCCCAAGTTCGCTCTCTTGAAGCCATTTCTAATCTATCCTTGAGACCTTGTTTGCCCAAGTTGGCTCTCTTGAAACCATCTCTAGTCTATCCTTGGGGCCTTCTTTGCCCAAGTTTGCTTTCTTGGGGCCTTCTTTGCCCAAGTTGGCTCTCTTGAAACCATCTCTAGTCTATCCTTGGGACCTTCTTTGCCCAAGTTGGCTCTCTTGAAACCATCTCTAGTCTTATCCCTCAAACCTTCTTTGCCCAAATTTGGCTCTCTTGAAACCATCTCTAGTCTCTCTTGAAGGACTTTCTTTGGGCAAGTTGGCTCTCTTGAAATCATCTTTAGTCTATCCTTGGGACCTTCTTTGCCCAAGTTGGCTCTGTTGAAACCATCTGTAGTCTATGCTTGGGACCTTCTTCGCCGAAGTTGGCTCTCTTGAAACAATTTCTAGCCTATCCTTGAGGCTTTCCTGTCCAAGTTGGGGCCTTCTTTGCCCAAGTTGGCTCTCTTGAAACCATCTCTATTCTTGGGACCTTCTTTGCCCAAGTTGGGTGGCTCTCTTGAAACCATCTCCAGTCTATCCTTGGGGCCTTGAGTTGGCTCTCTTGAAACCATTTCTAGTCTATCCTTGGGATTTTCTTTGCCCAAGATGGCTCTCTTGAAGCCATCTCTCATCTATCCTGGGGACCTTCTTTGCCCAAATTTATCCTTGGGACCTTCTTTGCCGAAGCTGGCTCTTTTGAAACCATCTCTAGTCTATCCTTGGGGCCTTCTTTGCCCAAGTTGGCTCTCTTGAAACCATCTCTGCAGTGCGACAGGCTGTTGGTTTTCCAACCGGCCTGAAAGCTAAAATCATTGTGCCACATGGTGCCCTCAGAAGATGTTGCAGGAGCTGATTTCTTTTTGATATGCCTTTGATGGCAGGAGAATTGGTTTTATAGGAGAACTTTTAGAAAGTTCCAATTCTTTGGGGACACATTATAAAGACAAACCCACCCCAAAAGAGAGGAAAAGGCCGGACGAACGCATTCATAGCGATCCTCCTGCCATGGACAAACGCATTCATGGCGATCTAGAAGATGAATTAGACCTGGCTTTGTATCAGTTCTTTGACAGTGCTGAGACTGAGCCTTCACGGAAACGGTTGCGAATCAATTGGCTGCTTGACCAACAAGCGTTTCTTTTCGGAGTGTCCCCATATCAAGCAGTTTGTAAATCCAGAATTTTTCTTGGAGATATGTTATAAAACAGTCGAATGGTTTTCGAAAAAGGCAACCAGCAAAACCCCAAAACCGTTCACTTATGAAGAAGTGAGAATGCGAGGAGGGAGGAGGTGAAGGGAGGAGGAAAAGGAGAGGAAGAGGGGAGGAAGGGAGGAAGGGAGGAAGGGAGGAAGGGAGGAAGGGAGGAAGGGAGGAAGGGAGGGAGGGAGGAAGGAGGGAGGGAGGGAGGGAGAGAGGAGGAAAGGAAGGAAGGAAGGAGGGAAAGGAAGGAAGGAAGGAAAGAAGGAAAGAAGAAAGGACGGGAGGAGAAGAGGAAGGGTGGAAGGGAGGATTGGAGGATGGGAGAAGGAAGGAGGGGACGACAGGAGGAAAGGAGGGAAGGAGGAAAGAGCTAGGGGGCGAAGGGAAGAAAGGGAGGAAGGGAGAGAGGGAGGAAGGAAGGAAGGATGGGAGGAAAGCGGAATAGACTTGTTGCTATTGATGGTTTGATTGCGTTTGAAAAGGGTTGTGTGTATGTCGGTTTTTGTTTGTTTTAGTGTAATTTTAATTGAGCTTTTTAAATCAATTATAAACCAAGGGGTGGTTTTTATTGCATTTATGAAAATAATAATAAAGAATGAATAGAAGTTTTTCTAGTGTTGAGGCAAGCTAAAGTAGATGCTGCGCCGGCAACTACATCGTCTTCCGGACGTTTGCCTTTACCTTTGCCAGAGGACGTGCTTTGGCCTTCGCATGTCTTTAAAAGCTGTGTGTATATATATATATATATATATTTGCTTTCTGGGTTTTATTACGCCACTTTGTCGAAGGCCTTTTTTGTACTAAGGTTGAGAGAGCAATTCATGCTCTGAATGCCCGTGAGCGTGCTTCACTGCGTGACAAGTGGTGCCAAAGGGTTTTGAAGGAGTATCCGCAATTGAAAACTATCAGTTATAGGGATGCTATGAGCAAACTACGCTTCTGCTTTACTCGGCAGACGTCGGCGCAGAAGGCGTATTGGTTTGCGCATGCCCTTTTTCCCGAACGATTTGACGCACCGCTCGTGCCTTCAAAGGAAGACTTGTTTCCGACTGCCCTCGTGCTGTGCAAGTCGCCCCCGCAGACGGCTGCGTCTGGAAGCGGGAGCGTGCCTGAAGACGGCCAATCCGCGGATCTACGTCTCCACGGGTTCCTATTTACATGGAACGGCAAATGGGGCTGGCAAAACCCAGATATTCAGCATATTATGCAATCACGGAATCTACCGGAGCCTGTTTTAGTGCGGCTTGTGCAGTCATCACCATTCTATGCCCAGCTTTGGATTGATTTCCAGCGGCAAATGACAAGTGTTGTTGGGCAGCAAGGCTGGCCTCGGTGGTCGTGCTGCGCTGAAATAAGTCTGAAACGGAAGCACTCTGCTAACCTGCTTCACTTTCACTTGGCAGTGTCTGATCCTGGCCGAAATCATCGCTTGGGGAGACTTGCAGCTTGGGCCTTCCAGGGGTCGACGCCAGTGCCAAAAGGTACAAATGGGGGCGGGCGTCACTTAATACGAGCGCTGGACGGCGCTCACTATTATACCCAAGCACCTAAACGTGGGAGAGTTTACCAGGCATGCAACTACGCCGCTTTCACTGACTTTCCTGTCGAGATGAACACGATCTTTGGTTTACGGCGCATGTACAAACTGACGGACGAGGCTTGGTGGAGATCGGACTTTCTTGCGCAGGGAACTCTGTGTTGTGTTTTGCCGGGGTTTAGCGCGTGGTTGTTTTTTTGCCACACGCTCAATGTTTGGGCTGGGCGTCGAATTGCAATGAATGTCCAGATTGGCAATCGGCGTCTCTTTTCTTGAAAATCGACATTTTCCTACACGCCCTAAAACATAACTTGCGGCCGCTCTTTTTGTAGCAGCCTGTGACCCCCAACAGGCAGCCAAGAGCGAGTTAACTCGAGCCAGAGGGCGCGGTTTGCGTCAAATGATCAACGAGATCGAGTATAATGCCGACAGGGTGCGGCAAGAGCAAGAAACTGCTTGCCGCCAAAACTTGGAAGCTGCCATGCAACATCTATTGAAGCCTTCCAGAATTATCCCAGCAGTATCTACATGGCTGCGCTTATTCCAAGATGGCTTTGGCTCTGCAACAAGATTCCCATTCCTTGTTCTCCACGACGCAAGCCAGTATGGAAAGACACAATTCGCTCGACAACTCTTCGGCGCGGCAAGAACGCTGGTTGTATCGTGTCAGGGCGTCAAGCAACCAAACTTAAAATCGTTCTCTCGATCCAAGCACAAAGCGATCGTGTTCGACGAGGCCGATCATACGCTCATCTTGGCCAACAAGCAGTTGTTTCAGGCAGGCACAGTCAGTATCCTGCTGGCGCAAAGCCAATGTCAAGAGCACGCGTATGAGGTGTGGCTTTACGGTGTTCCCCTCATAATCAGCACTAACACATGGGATGCAACCGCAGACGAGTGGTTGCCTGCTAACAGCATTCTTGTGCCAGTAGACTCTCCTCTGTGGGCAGATAACCTGCCCGTTGCAGATGCGCCGCGTGCCACTTGATGAAAAAGAATTCGAGCTGTTAGCCTAGGCCAGCATGACCAGACATGTTGTGTTTGCGCTTGTGGTCGCCCAGCCGGGCCGAACTTTTTGGGCTACTGCCAGACTTGCCTGTGGGCTGCAGCACCGCCGACCCGCCAAGCAGGCTTCAAAAGCAGGCCCCTTTTTGAGTTACGCCGACGGCTTCGCAAGGTTGAGGGCCAGGTGTACGTGGTGAAGGAAGATGGGTCCGCTTTTGGGCACTGTTTTTTTGGCTCTGAATTAACCACTTGTTTTAGGCCTGTCCTAAATCCTAATCAGTGGATGTTCGACGGCGGGCTAAAGTGTAACCTTATTTTCGCCAAAGGGGGATTACGTAAAATGGTGCAGGGAGTGGCGAAAACCCTTGTTTTGTGCGGGAGTGTGATTATGAGAAGTAATCTGATACATTGGGTGGATGAGCATGTGCGCAACCGAATTCAAAGGGGTGATAGTTCTGGGGTTCGTTTGCTTGAGGTATCTGCAGACGTTACCTGAGCCAGCGGTAATTAGTGTGCTTTTGTTTCATGGCCATGGGCGTCCGTATGTTGCAAACATGGATGGCCTATCTGGAACTGGGGAGCAACAGAGATTGCAAAAGCTATTGGCCCAGAATCGGAGGGCGCTTCGTGCAGAACAACAGCGGCTTCGTCGCGGTATCGCGCAGAAGCAGAACCTGGGCTTAGGCAAGCAGGGGCAGCAAGCGGCACATGCCGTTTACAACCTGACAGCTTCAGTGGACCTAGCTACTGGTTTGGCTCAACGCTTGACTTCCTGCCACGATCCGGGTAGCTCTGGGTACCCAACAGCTGCTACTGTGCGGGACTTTCTGACAAATTCTGGCCCTGTGGCTATGGCTCCAAATGCTCGTGCCGTGGTTGCGGCGAACAGATATTGCGCCGAATCTGCTGTTGCCGTTCAAACAAAGATTTTGAATTACCGGCATAGCGTGGCTCCTCCTGCTACGTGGGCGTACGAAACCTTCTCTGACCTGATGGCTAGCGGTGCACGCGAGGTACCCAAACAGAAAACAGCCAGGCAGTGGGCGCAGAGATGGCGAGCTCGCTGGGGCGTAGCGCGGAAGACATTGCCCGCGCATGAGGATTTGTCACAGGAAGCTGTGCAGGAGAAGGCTTGGTTTTAGCTAAAGCTGCGGCTCTTTTTTTGGCCTTGAAAACCGGTTCCAAAAGAGGCACCTTTTGCTTGTAAGTCGTTACTTTGGGAGTCCTTTTAGTTAGACAGGGGCTTTCCCGTCCGCATTTTGCCATCCGGTCCTAGGGTCCCCCCCACACTTTTGGGCACAATTCAAATACGCCCACTAAAACAGCCTATTTTCAACATTCAAATTCAATCACCCAACCAATCCAACACCAAAAAACACATATTCATATACCCATCTTCATTTCTTACCCCATCTCAACATCACCCTTACACTCATTCAATAACAACAATCATAACTACATACCACCTCAACAAACCACACCAAAAAATCCAGGCTACATACCAACATTTTTTCATTCCCAAGATCGCAACCCCAAGATCTCAATAATTTCTCCCTTGATCCAAACTGCAACCCTTTCCCATTTCCAACAAATTATGTTCGCCCCGAAAAATGGTTAACCAATGGAAAAGGGAGAATTAAAACCGTTAACCCAAATCTTGAAAACAATCTGTGTGACATTGGATGGCAAAATGCGGATGGGAAAGGCCTGTGCCCGAAATTTCTGGAAGAACCGTCGCGCCACTCCGCGCTTCGTCTACTACCACAACGTCTTTGATAAGTGTGCCCCACCAGACCGGCTGTCATTTCTTAGCAGACAGTTTGCATCAGTTGAGTCATTTGGTGCGATTTTCAAGCATTTGTCCGCAAGAGAATTTCAGGCTCTAAGTTCAGAGGCGGTGCCATTAAGTGACAATGGGCGACCCTGCGATGGCTGGTTCCTATAAGGAGGCATTTGAGAGGATGGTTGTCCAGAACATGGCATTGAGTCAGGTCATTTCCAATGGGTGGGTCATAGAGGAACAACCGTCGGGAGCGACCTTACGGGAGTCGTCCAGAGGTCTCGGGAACAGATGATTGAGGCCAGTCGCTCCTTGTGCTACGACAAGGTGCTTGATGGTCACCTTGAAAGAATTCTCTTCTGTGTCTATCGTGGTCAGACAACAGAAGTTGTTCCGGATGGGTCTTGGACAATGAAGATGGTGAAAGATGCAGTTTTGAGGGCATTCCACTTGAACTATGACATCAGAAAGATTGATGCCCTTCACCATTTCAAGTTTGAAGTCACACTGCAGGACGTCACGAATGCTCGGAAGGTTCGCGCCACACTATGCCGTGCTTGCTCGGTTGTTGTTTCAGACCGCGTTGGGCTCGGGCTTTTGCATGTTCCCAGTGAAGTGCGACTTCCCAACACACCCGTTGAGATCCCTGTCACCAACGAAGCCACTGAGACGATTGAGATCCTTGTCACCAACGAAGCCACTGAGACCATTGAGATCCCCTGCTTCAACATTCCCCCTCCTTGTCAAGTTTGACCGCCTGTCCAAGGAGTTGCTTGTGAGGGAGACCGACACACTTCGCATGTTGAAGACTCAGTGCATTGCGCTTCACGATCTTGGTGAGAACTTGACCTACAAGCAGGTGAACCTTTCTTGGCGTGACATGCCACTCACTGAGAACAAGAAGATGTGCAAATCTCTTCTCATTGCTGACATCACGCTTGACATGTCAATCCATGGAGTTGGAGGTGCAAAGAAAAAGGGGACGCAGAAAAATCAGATTACCAAGAAATCCTTCTTGCAGAGCCAGAACCAGAAATCCTTGGCTGACTTGTTTGCCAAACCGTTCCTAGAGGACATTCGCAACATTGTCAAGGAGGACAGTGACAAGATTTCGGCACTTCATGCGGACTTGGTGGACACCAACAAGGGTGCCATGTTTGCGTTGAAGAAGTTGGTATCCTGCGCCCCGGATGACGGGTTGGAGACTTTGGCATCTTTTGAAGCCTCGCGGGCTGATGCCAAGTTGGACGAGTTGAATGAGAAACTGCTCCAACATTTCATCCCCAAGCTGTTCACCTTGGAGTTGGATGTGCAGAATGCCAAGTCTATAGCCATGGCAGTGGTGCGTCTCATTCTCACTGAGGCAATGATGAGTGAGAATGGAACAGTTTCTTGGAAGGCTTTGGGCAGGATCATTGAGAACATTCAAGACCGTCGCGAAGAGATGAAATCCTCTTCATCTGCCGTTTTGCCATCCATTTTCGGAACAAAGTGGAAACAAGTGAGAAAAGAATGGGAACAAAGTGGGAACAAGAACCCAAAAGTGGGACAAGAATGGGAACAAAGTGGGAACAAGAAGCCAAAAGTGGGACAAGAATGGGAACAAAGTGGAAACAAGAACCCAAAAGTGGGACAAGACTGGGAACAAAGTGGACCCAAAAGTGGGACAAGAATGGGAACAAAGTGGAAGCAAGAACCCAAAAGTGGGAAAAGAATGGGCGCAAAAGTGGGACAAGAATCGGAACAAAGTGGGAGCAAGAACCCAACCGTCAGACAAGAATAGGAACAAAGTGGGAACAAGAACCCAAAAGTGGGACAAGAATGGGAACAAAGTGGAAACAAGAACCCAAAAGTGGGACAAGCATGGGAACAAGAATGGGGTCAAAGTGGGACAAGAATGGGAACGAAGTGGGAACAAGAACCCAAAAGACTTTTGGGACAAGAACGGGAACAAAGTTGGAAACAAAAACACCAAATTGGAACAAGACTGGGAACAAAGCGGAAACAAGAACCCAAAAGTGGGACAAGAACCCAAAAGTGGGACAAGAATGAGAACAAAGTGGAAACAAGAACCCAAAAGTGGGACAAGATTGGGAACAAAGTGGGAACAAGAACCCACTTTTGACAAGAATGGGAACAAAGTGGGAACAAGAACCCAAAAGTGGGACAAGCGTGGCAAAGAAGTGGGAACAAGAACCCCAAAAGTGGGACAAGAATGGGAACAAAGTGGTAGGACAAGAATGGGAACAAAGTGGGACAAGAGTGGGAACAAAGTGGGAACAAGAACCCAAAAGTGGGAAAAGAATGGGAACAAAGTCGGAACAAGAACTCAAAAGTGGGACAAGAATGGGAACAAAGTGGGAACAAGAACCCAACAGTCAGACAAGAATGGGAACAAGGTGGGAGCAAGAACCCAACAGTCAGACAAGAATGGGGACAAAGTGGGAACAAGAACCCAAAAGTGGGACGAATGGGAACAAAGTGGAAACAAGAACCCGAAAGAATGGGAACAAAGTGGAAACAAGAACACCAGTTGGCATTATTTTCCCACTTTTGGGCTCTTGTTTCCACTTTGTTCCCATTCTTGTCCCACTTTTGGGTTCTTGTTCCCACTTTGTTCCCATTCTTGCTGAAGTAGATCGGCTGCGGCTGGACAATGACTCCATGAAGAAAGAATTAGATTTCTGGACCAAAAGCACTACCATGGGTGCACGGGACTGGTGTGACCGTCTCCGCCAGGCTGAGCAGAAATTCCGTGAAGCAGCTGGAAAGAACGCGCGGCTTGAAGAGGCCCTGCGTGATTTAAACAGCAAGTTGGACCAGCTTGCGCTTATGACAAACTGCGCTCGCGCAGTTTGTTTTGAGGCGAAAGCAGCCAGCGCCAGTGCCTGAGGCAAACCTGGCAGCTGCCATATGACGGGGTCTCACTGGCGCTGTCCAGCTGTATCTCTTTTCCATTGGCATGGGGCAATGCCGGAAAAAAAGAGAGCAGCTGCGCGTGCACGGCCTTTTGCTTCTTGCTTATCGGCTGCTAAGGTGGCCAACGATTGTAACCAGCAGGCTGCCAAGTTCCCCTGCTTGTTTCTGCCCAAGCGGATCCCGCCCCTTCCCTCTTGACTTTCTTCTTTGGGGTCCTTTTGGCCATGCAGCAACGCAAGTCAAGTTCAAGCCACCTCGGAGTAAGATCGCATCCCAAAATTCTT